GTGGCGGCAGAAAGGATTGTGATGTGGGTGCAGGATTGGGCAGCGTTTCGTTCTGTTGAGTGTTGGGTCACTATGAGTCAATACTGACTCGATGGCACCTAACAACAACATGAGTCAGAACCTACTGGATGGCATGTAACAACAACATAGGGCCTTGCTCTGTTTTCTGAAAGCTCTGAAGAGTCTAAGAGAGGATTCTCCTATCTCCTGACTTCAGGTAGCCCCAGGCATTCTTTGACATTCCTTGGTTTGTGTCTTCACCCGATTTGTGTGTATCCCTGGGTCTCTTCTCTTACGGAAAAACACTACTCCACCCGACCCCAGTATTTGTTGTTGTTGTTAAGTGCCGTTGAGTCAGTTCCGACCTGTATGGTTGGTAGTGGTGGTTATATACTGTGCAGTCGGTCATGACTCATAGCGACCCTGGACAGGGTTTCCTAGGCTGTATATCTTTACTGGAGCAGAAAGCCTCATCTTTCTCACGCAGAACAGCTGGTAGTTTCAAATTGCTGACCTTAAGGTTTGCAGCCCAATTTGTAACCACTATACTACCAGAACTCCTTCTGACCTATATAGGGTATACCAACCCTATATACGGTTTCCAAAGAGTGACTGGTGAACTTGAACCACCAACCTTGCAGTTCAAATGGACTTTGCAGTCCAGCACATTAACCCACAGCACCACACAGGAGCTCTACCCCAGTACAGTCTCATGTTAACTGATTTGTTGTTGAAGTTGTTGTTAGGTGCCATCAAGTTGGTACCAACTCATAGCGACCCTGTGCATAACAGAATGAAACACTGCCCGATCCTGGGCCAACCTCACAATTGTTGCCATGCTTGAGCCCATTGATGCTGACATTTTGCCAATCCATCTCACTGGGTAAAATTCCTATCTCCAAGCAAGGTCACATTCATTGGTAACAAAGATTAGGACTTTAACATATCTTTTGGGGAAACAAATGCCATCTGTAACAGGAGTGACCACCAAAAGCAGGTCTTTCTATAATTTAGTGTAAATAAGTTTCCAGGAAAGATCGTAACATATAATGAATAACCCCAAATGCTTGGTTTTGGCCAAAGATTTCCTTTCCTTTCTTAATTTTTAACTTACACTTTTCTGCATCACTGACCTTTAGGTCATAGAATAATTGTTTAGAATTTTCTGTTTGTTAGCACTAGTGTTTGTAGGACTCCCAGTTTGGTGCTGTAGGATAAGCAGTAGATTGTGAATCACAAGATCTGTGGTACAAACCCACCATATGCTCCTTTGAAAGCCCAAAAAAGTTGCTTTTTGCGTGGGAATTGACCTGATGGAACTTCACAACAATGTTTCTTAAGTATTTCCTCTTTCCTTTTAAAACTTTATTTTGGATAATTTTAGAATTTAAGAAAAGTTGCAAAACTCAAAAAGTACCTCTCTACTTTCACCCAAATCCCCGAAATGATAACATTTTACCATATTTGCATTATAGTTTACCCTTCCTCCTTCTCTCTCTATTCCCAGTATACAAATATAGTTTAAATGACAGGCATAATGATACTACTTTATCCCTCAATGCACAAGTGGGTATTTCCTACAAACAAGGACAATCTTTGCATAATCACAGTGATTAAAATCAAGAAATGAATGTTGACACAGTTGTTGTTTCGTTGTTAAGTGCCGTCAAGCTGGTTCTGACTCTTAATGACCCTGTTTAGGGTTTCCAAGAAGTGACTTGAACCACTGACCTTGTGATTAGCAGTCAAGTGCTTATCTTTCAGCACCACACAGGGCTGCTATCTAATCTGTAGCCATATTCAAATTTTGTTACGTGCTTCACTAATATCCCTTTTACATTAATTTCTGGTTCAGGATTTAATCCAGGATCACATGTTTAATTTAGTTGTCATTAAACATATGGGAATCCTGGTGTGGCACTGTAGGATAAGCACTTGACCACAAGGTTGGTTTGAACTGAAAGGTCAGTGGTTCAAATTCACAAGTCGCTCCTCAGAAACCCTATACAGGGTCACTATGAGTCGGAATCAACTCGACAACACTTAACAACAACAACATTCCTCAAAAGTTTTTCTTTCTCTTTTATGACCTCGATATATGAGCAAATTATTCAAATAAAACCCCTAAACAAATAACCCATTGCCTCTTGATCTATTACAGCTTCCTCCTGAGCACATTTAAGTGTTCTGGGATGCTCATTCTTCCCAATGTTATCGTCATGATCCACACAATTAAAAATCTTTGCATAGTCAATAAAGCACAATATCTCTCTAGTATTCTCTGCTTTCAGCCAAGATCCATCTGATGTCAGCAATGATATCCCTAGTTCTATTTCCTCTTATGAATCTGGCTTGAGTTTCCAGCAGTTCTCCGTTGATGTACTGCTGCAGCTGTTTTTGAATACTCTTCTGCAAAACTTTACTTGCACGTGATAGTAATGATATTGTTTAATGATTTCCTTATTCCATTTGGGTCATTTCTCTTTGGAATGGGCACAAATATGGATCTCTTCCAATTGGTTGGCCAGGTAGTTGTCTTCCAAATTTCCTGGCATAAATGAGTGAGTGCCTCCAGTGCTGCATGTTTGTTGAAAGATTTCCATTTGTATTCTGTCACTTCTTGGGTTCTTGTTTTTCACCAATGCCTCCAGGGCAGGTTGGACTTTTTAAAATGGCTGAACATCAGCCACTTCTTTTTGGCACAACGACTTTTCATCTTCTCTGGATGTTTTCTGAGTCATTCAATATTTTGCCCATGTTGTTGTTATTATTAAGTGCCATTGAGTTGAGTCTGACTCATAGCGACCCTGCATAGGGTTTTCAAGGTGCATCTGGTGGATTTGAACTGTCGACCTTGCAGCTCGAACTGACCTTGCAGTCCAGCACATTATCCTGCAGGGCCAAACCAGGACTCCATATTTTGCCTGTAGAATCCTTTAATATTGCAAGTCAGGGTTTGAATTTTTTCTTCAGACCATTCAACTTCGGAAATGCTGATCGTGTCTTCCATTTTGGTGTTTTAACTCCACATTTCATGATAATATTTTACTTTGTCTTCTAGAGCTGCCTCTTGGAGATTATTGTTCTGTTCGTTTCTTCCATTTGCTTTAGCGTCTCTACACTGGGGAACAAATTATAGTCGCTTCTGAGATCCTTTTTGGGCCTTTCTTTCTTTGTCGTCTTTTGTAATGACCTTTTGCTTTCTTCCTGTATGACATTCTTGATGTCATCCAACATCCTAGAAGTGAGGATTTACTTACATAGGATAATTATATCAGATCAAGATTTATCACATCAGATCATACTATGAGGGAAGTATTACATTGTATTAGATCCCATCATGGGGATACTTGTATCTTAACTGCTAAACCATGGAGAATCCTGGCCCAGACAAGTTGACATGATACCCTAACTATCACACCCACCTGCTAACAAAACCATTCTAATTCCTTTAGGGAAGCATCACTACCCTTTTCACTGACTAGTCCTCCATTGTTTCGATGTTTAGTTTATCTGTCTGGAAGGCTTATTGTTTTTAACACTATATACCAAATCTGTGTAGACCATTTTCAAATTAGATTTTTATCCATTTCAAGCAGGTGGTTGGTTGTGGTGGTTATGTGCAGTGGAGTCGGTTTCGACTCATAGCGACCCAGTACAGGGTTTCCAAGGCTGTCAATCTTTACGGGAGCAGATAGCCGCATCGTTCTCCCAGAACAGCTGATAGTTTCGAACTGCTGACCTTGAGGTTAGCAGCCTGATTTGTAACCACTATACTACCAGAGTACACAAGTAAAAGAAACACACTGAAAAAGGTACCCAGGTGGCAGGAAATTTGCTGGAGTTACTTGCTGTCATCAGTTAAAGAAATCTTTACAACGGAGCTTTAAAAGAGTTCAAGAAAATGGAATGAAAACGTAATGGATTTTTTCCGATAAACTTTTTGAAGTCCCTCGTATTCTGAAGTGAGACATATCTGATTAGTGGGGGGTTTTCCTTTCTTTCTTTGCACCACAAATTAATGAAATCTATGCATCAAGGTTAGAAATTTTCATTAAAAACTTTCATCCATTTAATGGGATGGACTTGGTTACTCTCAGGAGTTCTTGACGGTTACAAAAGTAGAAAATGTCCATTTCTGAGGACTCTGCATTTCATCATCTCTGACAAGAAAAGCAAAATTGTACTGAGCCCAGCAAACCAGCTGCATTTATTTCATAAAGCACCAATTGTATAAACGGCTGCTCATTTGCTTCGTTATGTAATTGGGTGATTTGTAATGAGGAGGGCTCTCACCCAGGAGAGCAGTTTATAAAGACTCCCCTAAAAATTATTTCAGTATATTCATTTTTAGAGTCACTAATGAAAATTTAGCTCTGAACACTGCTGCAACTCTGGTTTGGTCCAAAGACTCTTTTCAAAAAGGCATACTTTTTGCTCATGTAGATTTAGCAGATGGCGTCATTGTAAACTCAGGGTTGCAGAACTAGAAATCTCTTGGCAACATTGTGCTGTTTATCCTTTGTGTACAAAGCATAGAAACCAAACTGCAACTCCTAGAGTTACCAGAAGACTCATTCTTAGCTGTGGATTAGCTTCATAATTAGTGCCAGGAAACTATGCTGTCCTACCCAAGTGTATAAATGTTATAACAAAAAAGGGAGTGCAGAGCAGCTAGTGAAAGGCATTGTGTTATGTTAACATGCAATCTGTTTAATAAGCAATGCTTTGTGTTGATGGGTATCCTCTGTAAGAGCCTTAAGAATTGGAACTTCAAAGATTTATAGTACAAACAGATCCTGAGTGTCAACATTGAATTATTGTTGTTGTTTTAAGTCAGAATTAATGGTGATTTAATTTTAAAATGAGATGAATGTTTTACAAAGAATATACAATATTGCAAAATATGACTGAATGTGTGAATTTTCAGTCTGTGAATTTTCTATGGTATTGTTAAGTGCCTTTGAGTCAGTTCTGACCCTTTTTAAAGCATTTCCGAGGAGCAGCTGGTGAGTTTGAATCTCTGACCTTGCATTTCAAACTGACTTTGCAGTCCAGCACATTAACCCGCAGTGCCACACCAGGACTCCTGTGGTGTAGACACTTACTTTCCACCAGAAAACATAGGCTTATCCATTCCTCCTTTTTGACAAGGATCACACCTTACTTGTTGTAATGAAAAATTCTGTTGTTCTTGCTGAGTGCCAACAAGATGCAAAGTAACCTTATACAGGGTTTTGTTGTTATTATTGTTAAGTGCCATCGAGTCTGTTCCAACCCATAGCCACCCTGTATGGTGTTTCCGAGGAGCAGCTGGTTAGCTTGAACGACTTTGCAGTCCAGCGCATTAACCCACAGCGCCACACCAGGACTCTTATGGAATAGACACTTATTTTCCACCAGAAAACATAGGCTTATCCATTCCTCCTTTTTGACAAGGATTACAACTTACTTGTGGCATTCGGGTGTGGCGCAGTGGCTTAATACACCAAACTGCAAAGCCGTTTGAACCGCAAGGTTGGCAGTTCAAGCTCACCAGCCACTCCTTGGAAACCCTATATAGGGTCGCTGTGGGTCAGAACCAACTCAATGGCACTTAACAACAATTCTTTTTCTTATCCTTTCAAAGTAGAGAGTTCTTCTTTTAATCATATTGAACAAAGATATGCCTTTAAAAAGAAAAATAACTGTTTTGGAAAAAATCTTTCTGGATTCATTAAATAAAAATAATAGATTCCTGGTATACAGACTTGGTACTTTATAATAGGTACATGAAATGAAACTAAGGCTTGATGAAGTAGCATGATTAGTAAAGCATCCCATTATCATTTGCTTAATTTTCCACCCCTTTTCTTTCCCTTTGGAAGACTTAGTGTCCAGTGGATTAATCACTCAACCCCCACACCTGGAGAACCGAGCACGGCAAAAGTCATCAGACATCCTGGAGGAACTAATTGTTCAAGGAATAATACAAAGCCATAGTCAAGTATTTAGAAGTGGAGAATCATATGATGTCATGGCAAGTAATTGTGTAATCAAAATTAACTTATAGTAAAAAGTAGTAATTGTTGTTGGTAAGTGCTGTCGAGTTGATTCCGATCCCTAGCGACCCTGTATAGGGTCTCCACAGAGTAGCTCATGAGCTTGAACCACCAAGCTTACAGTTCAAACAACTTTTCTGTCTGATACATTAGCCCAATAATGTTGTTGTTGTTGTTAGGTGCCATCGAGTAGTACTGACTCATTGTGATACTATGCACAGCAGAACAAAACACTGCTCAGTCCTATGCCAACCTCAGTACTGTTGCCATGCTTGAGTCCATCGATGCTGCCACTTGGCCAATCCATCTCATTGGAGGTCTTCCTCTCTTTCTCTGTCCCTCCATCTTACCAAGCACAATATCCTTCTCCAGTGACTGGTCTCTCCTGACAACATGTCCGAAGTATGAGGGACGAAGTTTGGCCATCTTGGCCTCCAAGGAGCACTCTGGCTGCACTTCTTCCAAAATGGATCTGTTGGTTCTTTTGGCAGCCCAGGGCACTTTCAACATTCTCCTCCAACACCATAACTCAAAAGCATCAATTCTTCTACAGTCTTCCTTATTCACTGTTCAGCTTAGAATATGATTAATCACAAGTCATTCTTTTCTGCATTCACATCTTAGAGTGACAATGTAAATTACAGGATTAATCTAAACCAGTTTTTCTTACCATGAATTCTTCTCCCTCAACATACAATCCCTCTCTATTGATTCAGGAATTGTCCTATTCATGAATGCTTACTGAATCTGCCAAATATACATCTTAGGCTGTGTGCAATAAAGATGCAAAACAAGTGACATTTATAATAGATAGATAGACACACAGAGGTTTATATCAAGGAAATAGCTCACAAAGCTACAGAGGTGGTCAAGTTCCAAGATGAGACGTCAGGCTGAAGTCTTCTCCTGACTCATGTAACTTTAGGAGATGATGAACCCAAGATCAACAGGTCAGACTGTCAGCTTCTGGCTGCAGATACAAATGAATCCAAGATCAGGAGGTAATATGGCAAGCTACTGACCACTCTCAGCATCAGCTGGCAATACAGCAGGCCACTGGATCAAGTCCAAAGAACCAGAGGTTGGATGACAAGCCAGATATAGGATCCAGACTCAGCAAAAAGCAAGCAAGCTTTTTCTGAGTATCCAATATATTGGAAGCAGTCCACACACCTGAAGAAATTGCCATTCAATTGATTGCACATTGTAAATTTTATCATGGAGTTGATTGCATTATATTATGATGAAATATAATATTTGCTCTTGTTGTTAGCCACTATTAAGTCAGTACTGACTCATAGCAACCCTGTGCACAACAGAATGAAATACTGCCTGGTTCAGGGTCAACCTCACAATTGTTGCCATGCTTGAGCCCATTGATGCTACCATTTTACCAATCCAGCTCATTGGGGGTGTTCCTCTTTTTCTCTGACCGTCTACCTTACCAAACATATTATCTTTCTCCAGCAACTGGTCCCTCCTGATAGTATGTCTGAAGTATGAGAGACTAAAAGTATAATTAACTCCAAGATAAAATCTGCTATGAACAGGTAGCCAATTATATCTCATCATGGACTTCTGGTGTGACACTGTAGAATTAGCACTGGGCTGTGAACCACAAGGTTGGTGATTCAAACGTACCAGCTGCTCCTTGGAAATCTTGTACAGTATCGCAATGAGTCAGAACCGACTCTATGGCACTTAACAACAACATATCTCATCACGAGGGATTATTAAGGTTTAATTAGTAAACCATTGAGAATCCTGGCCTAGACAGGTTGACACATTTTGAATCCGATAATCATATGAATTGAACAGTCATCTGGCTTACTGTGTCAGGAATGCTGTCCTCTTCAGATGGAATACACAGGACTCAAACTGACTACATTTGTTTGTTTCCTTATGTATTCCATCTGAAAGAAATGATAGCAAAGTTCCACATCATCAGCCAAAACAAGGCCCGGGGCCAACTGTGGGACAGACCATCAACTGCTCATATGCAAGTTCAAGCTGAAGTTGAAGAAATATAAAACAAGTCTGTAGATCCAAAATATGTCCTTGAGTATATTCAACCTGTTTAGAGGCCTTCTCAAGAACAGATTTAATTCATTAGACACTAATGACCAAAAACCAAAAGAATTGTGGGATGATATCAAGAACATCATACACCAAGAAAGCAAAAAGATCATTAAAAAGCCAGGAAATAAAGGGACAAAATGGATAACAGAAGAAACTCTGAAACTTGTTCTTGGGCATAGAGAAGCTAAAACGACTGGAAAAAATGACAAAGTGAAAGACCTGAACAGAAATTTTCAAAAGGCAGCTGGAGAAGACAAAGTCAAATGTGCTCATGAAATGTGTAAAGACCTGGAGTTAGAAAATCAAAAGGGAAGCA